CCCGCGAGGAGTGTTAGACATTTTTTCCTCACCTTGGGCGTTTTAAAAATATGTGCTTTCAACCCCCCAGTTCCCCCCACCCAGCCATGGGGGTGGGGAATTCTGGGAGTTGAAGTCCACATATCTGAAAGCTGCCAAGGTTGAGAAACATTGCTCTAACCCTTCTGGCAGGCACTTGGCTGGGGAAGGCTGTGTTTCAGAGCTGTTTTCCCACCCACCTCTGAACTTTTGAAAGGCTGCAGCAGCACGTTCTGCCTCTCAGCCTGCCTGCTACAGGAACGTGAGTTTGGTGGACTCAGCCCTTCTGTGGGCACAACAGATTGTCGCAGCAGCATTAATTGTTGCTATTATCTGCTGCTTATGCAGACAGCCTCTGTTCAAAGCTCGTTGAAAACTGTCAGTCAGTGGGCTTGATGTGCAATTACAGGAAGATGGTTGAAAATCTCTCTTGCTGAATGCCTCTTCCACCATCTCTCCTGGGTAATGCAAGCTCTTAAAAGTTCTCCCACCCCACCCACGCAACCACATGCTTCCATTTATTGTGTCCCTATTTTGTTAAGGATTTTGAGAAAAGCTGTTCTTCGCAACCTTTCCTGACCTAGTAAAGTCAGCTTTGATTTGAATAGCAAAATAAAATCTTTCTCTTTTCCTTTTTAAAAAATCTGCCTCTCATTTTAGAAGCTTTTCAGTTGAGCATAGATCAATTATCTAGCAAACTGTGCCCAGAGATAGCAGGTGGTGGGATTTTATATTAGATGATAATACCTTGCTCCCTCCCCAGAAGCTTGGTTTGAGTAACAGAGGACTTAAAAACACCCATTTTTTGCAATCTAATGGAGGCAGCTAGAAGTGATGGCTAACCCCTGAAACAGTTTGTTCTCCATTTTAAAAAAAGTATATATATTTGCAGTTAGGAGAAGGGAAGAAATCTCTGTCCTAAACCTTGGAAAGACCCTGGTAGTCAAAGTGGATATCTAAGGCAGCTTCATATATTTATTGAGAGCATCTTTTACTGTACTCAGCAGTAGACTACTGCATTGGTATCCTGTTCTAGTATCCCATTTTAAGAACAGCGCAGGCAAAGTGGGATGGATTTAAAGGAAAGCGACAACCGTGATCCAGTTATGGAAAATATGAAGGAAGACTGAAGGAATGGGGTGTATTTCTCTGGGAGGCAAGGGGAGGTGCCAGATCCTTGAAGATCCAGATCAGGGAAAGGCAGGACTGGATCCAAGGGGCTTGTAGGACAGGAGGGTGGATTTCAGCTGGGTGTAAGGAAAATGTTCCTGCAGGTATGGGGGAATTCCAGAGGTGGTGGACTCTTTTAACATTCAAGGAAGATTGGGTGAGAGCAGCTGAAATGCTTTGGTCCATGGAATGAGCTGGCGCAGGTTTGCAGGCCACAGTCTGAGGTGTGATAGGACTTTAAAGGCAGAGTCTGTTTTGCTGGAAGTGGGGAGTGTTCCCCTCCTATTAAAAAAAGTGTA